AAAATTTTTTGAGGGAACACCATTCGCGATGGAGACTGGTACATTAACATTCGTTTTAAAAGACGTACGGAAAAGTTCTAAAATTTCCAAAGCTCGGATGAACAATGTTTCCCGCTGTGAATGAGGTTATTCTCGTATCTGGACAAACAAATGAACAAATACCTCTGATGCTGGCATAGTAAGGCCACACAAAAATTGTTATGACTATTATTGAGAAAATGGGATCGTATATTTTACTTGAAAAAATTCAAATAAAATATACCTGTTTCCATTTATCCAGCTGAAAATATAGGAAATATGATAAACTTGTCAAGGTTACATCTGGGTGAAAAAAAAAAAAAAAAAAAAAATGGAGTAAGCCCACAAACTAAAGAAGCCTTTGTTATAGTACAATAATTAATCTTATGTTCTGTAATCAAACTAATGAATATATTTTAGAGTTTGTAAAAAAAAAGCACTTAATCCAGCACCTTTCTACTGCCACTGGCACTAGACACTAGACCAGGGACACTCAGGGAGCTAGGGCGTGTCTCTGCCATGCTGTTTCTATTACCAGGCATGTTCATAGCATCAGACATCCTTGGCTCTTCATCATCATCAACCCACTTTCCAGATGAAAATGAACCTTGCTGATCATCAGTTAAGGTTGCATTTAGTTGAGGATTACTGCTTGATATTTTCTGCCGAGCTTTACTTTGTAAACCAACTGGAATACTTGCAGAACGTCCTGTTTCTCCTGTAGAAGGAATTGTATAGACCGACATCAGCACTTTTCTTTCAAGGACGTTTCAAGGACTTTGAATCCGCGAAAACTCAACAATCTTCTAGGAATCCTTTTCCATAGGATCACATTTAGAATTTGTCAAGCCACTGAAACATAATACTGACCAACTGAAGGCAGATTACTTTACAATTTAGCCTTTAACAATGTTTGAGACTCCACATAATACATGTACATGTAATCACGTCACCCTAGCATCATCAAAGTCGGAGATAGGAGCATTCATGGAGCTATTTACAATAATGATTTGGTTAATTTGACAAGCGTTTTTGCTTGCCATGTACAGCAAGAAAGAAACTGGGCATTTATGATGTACATGCGATGTTACATCGGTCATGGTAAGATAGCCAAATAGTAAGCTAAAAAATGTTTGAGTGAACAAACTACAGTAATCTGACACGTCTCCAGATTAATGTAGATACCATCTTATTTTCTAACAGGCAATTTGATTCGTTGTTTGATACAACCAACGCTGTGATTGGTGTGACACGCGCACATGCATATTCCCTCACTCACCGATCACATAGCCCTTCCAAACCCCAAGAGGAATTTTTGCTCAAAAACACTCAAGTTANTTTCAAAATATTATCACGATCTAAAAACTTTACAACCGTTTTTCTAACATTATTAACGACCAGAACCAGTGGAAAAAAAAATTGTGTCATATACACTTCAAGGGACTAGGAGTATTTATAATCCCCCAGGATGAGGTTCTAGTCCATTGCAGGGTTACCCCCAAGCTCTCAAAGCAATAAAGTTGTTGGCACTTATACACCTGTGGGAGACAAACATTGTGAGAGAAGTGTCTTCCCCAAGAACACAATGCAATGACCCCAGCTAGGGCTCAAACCTGAACTGCTCACTCCAGAGTCCAGCAGACTGACCATTAGGCCACTGCACCTTCACCAAACACACAGTAGAGGTTTAATATATCTCTTAATAATCCTGTCTTCTCAGTGCATACGGTAAATGACAGATTCTTGTTTCTTTTTCCTCTCATCTATGGCCTGTGCATTTCACGCTTGGGCCATAAATCAAAAGAGAAAAAACCTCAGTCCCTAACTTCAAGCATAGACCTTGAACTCAGTTAGTAAGAGGTATTTGTATTGTTATACCATAACAATTATTGTTTTAAACAATAATATCAATATAACAGGTTCAAAGCTAACCTGAAAAATGGTCTGGGGAACCTGCTGGTGAGTGGTTATAAGGAGCAGAAAACACATAAGTTATATATGATGCCAGCAATTGATTGCGACCATGCTCATCCTGGCTGTTTTCTAGCAGTTGATGAAGGCGATGTACAATCTTTGTCAAGGACTCAAATGCAGCCTGCCCAATATTACCTGTGGTAAAGAACATAGAATTACGTAGACAGCTGTCACAGAGATTGTTTGTGCTACATCTGCATGTACAACTCAGATTTTTATGTAATGGCTATCTACATCTAAGTCAATAATAAAAAGAAAAACATATTTTTACCCATAGTTATATAATTGGGATACCACATTTTATAAAACGGAGTAAATGAACACCTAATGTCTTTCAAGGAAAATCAAGAGGCTGGTACTTTGACACACAAAGGTAGATCGTTAAATACCTACAGTCCCTGATATAACAGGTGGCCTGACAAGAAGCAAAATAAGCTTGTCCAGAACTAGATACAGAAACCTAACAAGAGGTTCCTCTTGTGTCTTGGACAGGTCAAGGATGCTTTTACGTAACACAGACTCTAGATTTCCTTCAGAGCTGCGGGTTGGTGACATCACACGTCCCTCTATTTGGTGGCAAACCTTTAAAAATTTGTGAATGTGTATATCCTGGAAAAAAAGAGAACAATGGAAGGCCTTATCTACCATATCACTTTATGACTTTTCTTTGCTTATACTTTGATGCAGCTGAAAGAAATCCTTGAATACAGTAAGCAATGCTGGGGTTTTGGAATATGCTGACTATGCAGGTGCTTATTTAATCTTTTCCTGGTTGTTTATTGTTTTAATTATTTAAATTTCTACTTCAGTCTGCAGCTGTTTGAGCGATTATAAGGAGAGGTAGCTATTTGATGGGGTACATGTATTTGGGGAGAGGTTCTTATTCAAGTATTCTTTTTTAATTCTAGATTTTGCAGCTGGGACTGTGGAAATGAACGAAATTTTAGGAGATCACACTGAAAAAATAATGAGGAACAAGTAGTGTAATATAAATGGGAGTTAATAATCAATTTTTTGCACAATGAAAATGGTTGTTGTAGTATCTTTCAAACCTGCAAAGTTTTCCTTAGGTACCCCAGAAATCAGAAAGAGGAACCAAAACGTCTGCCAAAAGGGGTTTTGGCACGAGAATAATTAACTCTAATCTTACATTAGAAACTATTTTCACTGAAGAAGAATGAACACTACAGAACAAGTATCAAATAGCCTATGAGCAAGCTCTCATGGCAACTCTTAGAGTAGGTGGTGGTGGTGGAAGGAGATATTGCATACATTGCTTAGAATTTTGAATGTCATACTGATTAGTAGAGATGAATTCATTGATGACGTAGGAGCAAAGTTTCCCGCAAACAGGTAAAGAAATATTCTAGTTGGACTGTGCTTTGAGAAATCTTTCGAAAGCTACAATTTTCAGAGGGGTTTCATTTAGAGCTGGGCACCAGGAAAATTGACCAGCTGTGAGGATAATTTTGCCTGCCTGATTTGACCATCTAGTGGAAAGCTCTTGTTAAAAAGAAGATCAATTCAAAAGGTTTTGCCCAACTGTGAAAACCAGTTGCCTTTCTGCTGAAAACATCAATGAAAACCGCTGTTTTCAATTTGATCTGAGAGAACTTTAGGGTGTGTGTTCAACACCACCACTGAGTGTTTTTTTATTCTAAAGACAATTATTTTTCTGGAAAATACACCATTCATAACGATCATACAAAACTACATCTGGGACACGACTGGCACATTTTCCATATTCTCACTAGTAAGGATATTCAAACGTCATTTCCCCTTCACTCATGGTTTTTTGACTTGAAGATATGAGTTTTTTCTTTGTGTGAAAAATAATATCTTACTTACTCGCTGGGCCCTCATTCTTTAAATATTGTTTTTACCACTCCAAATATCTGTCCAAATATCTTTTTGCCACTATATAATATCTATATAATCAGTCATGCAGATAAATGAAATGGTTATAGATATAACATTAGACTTGCCCAAAAGTTGAGCTACAAAAGCCAAGCTCAGAAAGTGAAAAGAAGGTTTTAAATTTTGCCATGATGCTCCAGAAGACAACAAACATCAATTCACCAGCAAACAAAAGAAGTCAGTGTTTCACTGTTGTGGGCAGGGTTTAGCAAAAGCCATGTTTTACTTCAAAGTGAGCCACAGATATTGTACTAAAAAATTTAAAAATTATTTTCATTCCTTGTCTACATTACAAATAGTACAAAGGAACATAAGCGTGTTTAAAAAATCTATTGCATTCATTAAGTTGTTTACAAGTGCACTCTTTCACTTCTCTGATATGATGTAGTTGCAGCTTGGCATGAGGTCTACTTGGGCTTCCAAAAAGTAACAAATAGTACAGTCTCCTTGAAATATTCTTTCAATTGATCATTCATGTAGTCTGCTTTTTCCCCAAAATATCAATCAAAAGTCAAATTTCAGACAACATGGTCGTTAATTCTAAAACAGCTGATACAAACTGACCTCATCATTAGAACTATGCAATATTTGCTTTACATTGGCAAAATGTTGTTTCTGCAACATTTTTCTTTATGTGACCAAATGAAGCTTCCTTGGTGCAAGTTTGATAAGTTCTAATTCACCCTTAAGGGTGAGTTGTATTTCACAATCCATTGTCTGCGGCTTCAACCTCCTTGCATTCTTTACCATTCCCTATTCACTTATACTTGGCCAACATGAACTGGCACTAGTGAACTTCTGAGCTTAGAGAATTTAATATCAAATCATTTTTAAGAAATCGTAGCTATTCTAGCAACTGAACATTGCTTATGATACTGTGCCATGTTGCTCAATTGCCAAAATTTGTCCTTTATTTACTTTTTGTGGCATTTTTATTCCCATTATCCTGATGCAGACTCCACAACGTAGTTTCTGCAACAGCGCCATCACTTAGAATTGTTAATTACAATGGAAACATAGGCAAGAGTTCAACGTTTTGGCAAAATAAAATGCCCATACAAATAAAGTAGACAGACATTTTCGATTTATCCAAGGTTCAGAGAACTTTTCACTCTAGTGGTTTGGAACAAAAATAATGGAATTTCTGTGTACTCTCCACAACAGCCATGTATACAGAGTGAATTACACTACTGTAGTGCATATCTCTAATAGACATCTACCACACAGCAGCAGACTGCATCTGTTTTGTAGTCTACATTTTTTTACAAATATCATAGCAAAAGTCTCAGAAAGTAGTTTCTGTAACAGCACAATACTATGGAAAAACTTTTGAGTCCACTTGAATGTTTGGTGATATGCAAAGGAAAGAACTGAACATTGTGCTTGCACAATACTGCATGTTATTATATTTTAGCCCATGAACCCTAACCCCCTTCACACAGAGAAGTTGCAAACACATGTTTTTAAAAAATGGTTGTTTACCTGAGTGTAAATGGAAGATACAGCCCTCACAGCAACATGGAAAACACCCTTGTGACTCTCTAACCACTTCATACCAGGAAGTTGCACCTTTAATAAGAAGTGGTGCCAGCATAGTGAGTATGCAAGCTAAGGGTATGTGTAAAATACACTGTACAATGTGATGATACATGAAGATGCAAAGGCAGCCCTAACACTACTGGAAAAAAGACCTGAAAAAATTTTCAGGCTTTGATCAGGATTCGAACCCATGACCTTTGCGTTACCGGTGCAATGCTCTCCCAACTGAGCTATAAAAGCCACGTGAGAGCAGTCGTGTGTGGGTTGGCCCTTTATGTTATGCTCAGTGGACGTAATAATCGGCTCAAGTATGTGAATTCCATGGCAATAGATGTCCAACAGTTGCAATTAAATGTAGACGTGATGATAGATGCGAATGCAGCCACAACACCACTGGAAAAAAAGACCTGAAAACATTTTCAGGCTTTGAATGGGCTTCAAACACACAACCTTTGCATTACTAGTGCAATGCTCTCCCACCAAGCTACGGTTACGTGTAAAATATACTGTACAATGTGATGATAGATGCAAAGGCAGCCATAACACTACTGGAAAAAAGACCTGGAAAAATTTTCAGGCTTTGAACAGGATTCCAGGGTAATAGATCCCAATCCGTAATCCCATTCAAAGTCTAAAAATTTTTTCAGGTCTTTTTTCCAGCAGTGTTATGGCTGATTTTGCATCTATCATCATGTCTACATTTAAGGTATCATGGTAGGTGAATTTTTACAAAAAATGTGAAAAATCGTTTTTTTTGCCCTTCAAATTGAGAAGACTGAGATAAATATTTTGCAAGAGGAATGGGAAAAAAAAACTTTTTTACTTTTTAAGATAAAGAGAAAAACTATTTTTGAATCTCATTAACCCCTTATGGCACATTGACACCTCTAAATAAAATTCAAAGCCAGTTGTCACATGCAAAGTTAATTGCGGTGTGATATTTCATTTCTGCACGTGAACTGTTCTCAGTCTGGTTCTTTCACTGCAAGCATCAGGACAAAATTGCAAGAGAACTTCTTCTCCATTTTCATCTTAAAAGAAGCCGAAGAGGCAAAAATCTGGTGGAACCCACAGGTTCAGCACCAAACAAGATCTTTGGCTTTGAAGGACTGTGGGTCGCACTGTAACCAAGAAGAACTCGAGGACACCAATGAAGTTGAAGGACAAACTAAAACAAGTGCTAGTCACATGAAATTGCTGGAGAGTGGAAGCGATTCTGAAACTTCCACAATGAAAGAGTCAAGCGCAGATGTGGACCTCGAGATTTCCTCTTTTGGCTTCACGAGGCATGGTTTCAAAACTGTCTGGAAAATGAAGAAGCCTAACCTTGAGCAACATAATACCAATGCTGCCAACAAAATCTTCTAAGTAAAAGAAATCACAGCAGTTTAAGTACAAACCTGTATAAAGCTCTTGGTAGTTTGTTGCTTCTTGGACAATTTCACTGCGACAGGTTTCCATGCCAGAATCGTAGACTTCTGTTTATATCAAGTTGTCATAACCCATTGTTGTTGTGGTAAATTGACTCATGCCAACATCTGTCAGGGCAGAGGGGATTTTTAACACCTAATCACACTAATCTCAAAAGGTTTTTTGTCTTTTTCTCGATAAAATAAAACTACATATAACATTGTATAAGGATGAACATTTTTAGTTTGTTTACGTGCGTCTTCCAATGGAATTGGCTGAAAATTGGCAAGTATGTTCCAGAATACCTCCTTTGTTTAATTTCCCTTCCATTTCAAAGTTATGGCCTCTTTAGTAGAAGGAAATGTTCGCATTGAAAATATCAAACTTTAGGAGTGTGTAGAAAAAAAACCAAAGCACATCTGGAAAATTGCCAAAACCCCTTTTCGAGGGTGATGTGTGAGAAAACATTCATGATGTTAATTGCTCCGCTCCGATAATTCAGGCATGGAAGTGAACCAGTTTAAGCAAGGCAGTGTTTCTGTTTTTTTCCTTTTAATATCACTGCACCAATAACTTTCTAGAAAATCTCAAAGGTATGATTGCATTCTATAACTATTAAGCTTTCAGAATATGTATAAGTTGACGAGACTTTCCTGCAAAGTGCCAGCATAAGAGCGCGATTTCCAAACACTGTCAATCCGAGTACCATGATACCTTAATTGCTACTGTTGGACATCTGTTACTATGGAATTCATATACTTGAGCAGAGTATCATGTCCACTGAACATAAAGGGCCAACCCACACACGACCACTCTCATGTGGCTTTGATAGATCAGTTGGGAGAGCCTTACACTGGTAACGCAAAGGTTGTGGGATCGAATCCTGTTCAAAGCCTGAAATTTTTCTCAGGTCTTTTTTCCAGTGGTGTTATGGCTGCATTCGCATCTATCATCATGTCTACATTTAATTGCTAATGTTAGACATCTACATGTATTACCACATACTGTACAATAAAGACAGGAACAGCAACCAACCAACCCTTACAGAACAAAGGGTAGGACAATAAAGTGTATTATCGTTTGTCTCATGATGTAGTTACTTGAGATGTAGAACATGACGTTTTGACTGCTTACTGCTAGTCTTCTTCAGGTAATAAGGATTGACTGATTATGCTGCACCACTTATATCACAAAGGTCTGCTGTGATTGGGGCATTTTGATCCTCCATTGCTTCATTGCTCTGGTGAGTAGTTGCTCCCTCAGTGGTCTGCTGTTGTAGTGTTCTCCTGTTGTTGTGTTTTTTGATTGTGGGCATCCATGCTTCAGGAATTTCAATCCCACTGTCCCTGGTGATGTTGTTGGGGTACAATCTTATGTAGATAGCTTCCTTGACCCTCTGTGTGTACCAGTGAAAATCTCGGTCAATAAACTTGACCTCATTCCAAATTGGATAGTGGCCAGTTTTGTGGGCGTGTTCAGAAACCATCCAGGATTGAGATAGAGTTGACATCTTCCTTCAACCCCTCAACAGTTGACAATCATCAATCCTTTTCACCATGGAGATTNGTTGGCTTCTCTGATCAGTTGGCAGTATCTTGTTTGTTGCAGAGTCCAACCTTGTTCTTTGCGGGATCATTGGACGGTTGACGCGTAAACTATTAACCCACGTTTGGCAAGCTTCTTCTGGATTTCTCGGCTGGTTGCTTCATCGTTTCTTCTCATCTGTTCTTCAATGAACGCTTTGGCTTCAGGGTTTACCTTTCTAGGCCGACCTGATCTTGGCAGGTTGTTCGTGGAACTGGTAAGTTTTAGCTTGTTTATAATTCTTGCCACACTCTGATAACTACATGTAACTGCTAGATCTTCTCCCTTTAACATTTTGAATATCTCAACTGGATGAAGATTTTGTTCATGTAGAGATTGGATTCGCTTATGTGTATAAGTTGATACCATGATTGCTGAGGATAAACTAACAATGCGAACTTTAAAATTCAACCATATACAAACATGGTTGCCATGTCCACTGAATAGCGTGGGAGCCGTTAAAGTCCTGAGAGAATTCAGGGAAGAAAAACAATTAATGAAATATCGTTTGAAAGCTAAAAGGAAAATTCGCTATGTTTGTTGAAACTTCGCTACAGGCAGAACGACTTTTTGTAACGCGGTCTGAAAATTCGCTCTGGGTAAGAACAATAGTAGCCACGATATTTTGCGAATATTTCGTCGACATATTGTTTTGTTTGAAAATTCGTTGAATGGCGTCGAAGAGTACTGAAAAGCAACGTAATTCGACGAATTTCGCTCTCATTACTTTTGCACAGTACTGTATGCACTACAAATGTAGCAATGGCCGCTTTTACTCAAAAACAATCATGCCAAATACTAGTAACCAGTCTACCTCTCAGACTACTCATCCTCCCAAAGCTCTGTCACGTGACATCTCGTCCTCAAACCCACAAGATTTTCACAGTTGTTGGGCTTATGCATGCATAATGCACAAGCCCACAACAAAAAGTATGGGAAGGGTTCAGAGTCACTTTAATTTTTCTCAAAATTTAAGGTGTCTATGTTCTCAAAAATGATAAAGCCAATCAGGAAAAAAATATTACCATGCTTACTAGTTGGGTAAGGACTGTATACAACATAAATATTGTGGAGATTGGTCGCTACCCTTCTTCCGATATATTTCAATTCTGCCTGGTTTTCTCAGAGACTCTTAAAAGTAAATAAATATATTCTTTTTAAGTTCTATAAATTCACTTCAAATTTGTTATTTCAGAATAAACATTATCATTGTTAACCTAAAATACTGGTTCACTATCATTATCTCACAGTACTTTCACATCCATTTGAAATGCCCCACTATTCTGCCCAGCTGGCTGCAATATTTCTTGCAATGCTGTGTGCCTCCTAATTATCTGTTGTTGATACCTGTATATTTACTACTTGTGCCTAGTTATACCACACTGACAACTAATCTTACTGTGTAGCCTATTGGTGTTTCAACAGGCCCCTTTTCTTCAGGTTTCTTTCCTGTTGAGCAGCTAATATGATAAAAAGTGAAAAGGAGGTGATGTTGTTCTGTCAAATGTGCTGGCAACTTGATCTTTACTTCTTCATAGAAGTCTGGACACCTAAATATCAAAGCCAACAACTCAAATTATAAATAAAATTATAATAACAAATTAATTAATTTTATTACTATTTTACGCTTTACTGTTACTGAAAGAAAAATCAATTCTCTGACTATTCACCACCCTTAAACAAGATTCTGCTAACCAAACAATTTTGTAGTCACTTATAAAATAATTATATGAGTAATTTGTGGTGTTGGAAATTAAATTTTGACAGCGCTTGCTATTAAGGTGGGTGACTTTCAAAATCACTTGTGAGTGATCGATGATTTGTACTTGCCAAACGCTTTTCGCACATGCATTGGCAAGTGCTAATTCCCAACACTGAATTTGCATGTATACAGACTTCAATGAAGCAGTGTTCACAACTGCAGTTCAAAGAAAGTATGTGCACTAGAATAATGAATGCAAAATATAATAACATACTTGTTATGGTAAGTTACTGCTGACCAGGCTTCTGACTGCATAGCAGCTGTACTGGATTTACCAAATACACACTAAAAAGACCATTAAAAACAACAATATTGAGAATACAAATACCACACAACCTCAATCTATCGAGGTGGCTCCCTATAGCTTCACGATTGCATGTGTGCTGAGCACGAAAGCTCAAGTAATCTGCGCATGATCAAATGAAAAAGGCAGTGTTTTTGGATATTTTATGATGGCAACATGAGCAAAAAACGCAAAACTGACAGTGAATTTTTGCATGTTTCCTTTGGTGAATTTGTTTTAAAATTTGGCTCATTTGTAACCACATACAATTCCTATAAAATACCCTATTTTTGCTAAAATCTATCAGAGTTAATCTAATATATTTAGAAGAATGACAAATTACAGAATATTGGCAAAACCATCTGAACAACCTTGACTTTTTATCAATTCAAAATTTCAGGCAATATTATTTCCATGATGTGTCAAAGTATGAAAAACTTTCACCAAAGAAAAGTATAAANAGATGTAGAACATGACGTTTTGACTGCTTACTGCTAGTCTTCTTCAGGTAATAAGGATTGACTGATTATGCTGCACCACTTATATCACAAAGGTCTGCTGTGATTGGGGCATTTTGATCCTCCATTGCTTCATTGCTCTGGTGAGTAGTTGCTCCCTCAGTGGTCTGCTGTTGTAGTGTTCTCCTGTTGTTGTGTTTTTTGATTGTGGGCATCCATGCTTCAGGAATTTCAATCCCACTGTCCCTGGTGATGTTGTTGGGGTGCAATCTTATGTAGATAGCTTCCTTGACCCTCTGTGTGTACCAGGGAAAATCTCGGTCAATAAACTTGACCTCATTCCAAATTGGATAGTGGCCAGTTTTGTGGGCGTGTTCAGAAACCATCCAGGATTGAGATAGAGTTGACATCTTCCTTCAACCCCTCAACAGTTGACAATCATCAATCCTTTTCACCATGGAGATTGAGAATAACAGAGAGATGGCCTTCCTGGCCGTTTTACCTTATGTCCAGGGAGTATCGCAGCCCCTCTTCCACTACCTAGAACAACAAGGCATTTGCACTGTCTTCAAGTCTGACACAAGACTTTGGTTACACTTAGTGCGACCAAAGGACATTGTTGATCCGGCTAAACAAGACAACATGGTCTACAGGATTCCCTACGAATGTGGCAAAGTCTACATAAGGGAAACAGGGAGATCTATGCAGGAGGGAATCAAAGAACACGACAGGGATATACGACTCGCCTGTACCCAGACCTCTGCCGTTTCTGAACATGCCCACAAGACCGGTCATTATCGGATTTGGAACAAGGTCAAGTTTATTGGTCCTCCCTAGTACACATGTAGGGTCAAGGAAGCTATCCACATAAGACTTCACCCTAACAACATCAACAGGGACAGTGGGATTGAAATTCCTGAAGCGTGGATGCCCACATTAAAAAATCATAACCACAGGAGAACAGTACAACAGCAGACTGCTGAGGGAGCAACTACTTGCTGGAACACTGGAACAATGGTGGATTGAAATGCCCCAATCACAGTCAACCTTCATGATATAAATGGTCCTACATAATAAGTTGAACTTTATTGTCTGAAGAAGACTAGCAGTAAGCAGTTGAAAAGTCGCGTTCTACATCTTAAGTGACTACATCCTGACACAAACGACAATACACTTTATTATTGCATTTACCATGATGAACAATAATAACCTTTTCCTCAACAAAGGATACAGTAGTAACTACTGCACACTAGTTTGAGTAATCTACCAGTTGGCTAACAGGATCACAAAATTGTCACCAATAATGCTGTGGCACTCTTGAACATCCAAATTACCTCTGGTGAAAGCACACTGTAACTTGGTGGTGGCTTCTCCAAAGATACTGGAAGATGAAATTCACCCAGAGAAAGCCGGCCATCTTTTACAGCACGGATCCACTGTTGACAACATGAGCCAAATTAAACAAAACTTAGGGCAGTGGATCACAATAGTCGGACAGCATTTTTCAGAACTTCTTTGATGAATCAACACTACAGTAACTGCTCTTTTTCAGTTGACACCGCAATAATAATAGGGGCTAACTTGAAAATCTAATAGTTCTTTTAGCCTCTAGGCTCTTTCTTTTATAATAATTATTACTTTCTATCTATCTTATTGATCAACTTCTAATGTACTCAATATTTTACATATCAATGTTTCTTCCCAGCCAATAAAGATTATTGTTATTGTTGTTATTATCATTACGGGCATGTTCAATCATTGGTAAACAAGTTATGGTCATCTTTGAGAAGCAGAGTTACCATAGCAACATGATAGCCTGTTAAAAACACCCTAACATATAGCCTTAAGTGCCTATGATGAAATGAGTCCAGTGACCCCATTTTTGTGTGGCTTGTAAGCCACACTGGATGGGCATCTGCAGAATTTGTCAGTTTGCAGAAGGGTTAGCAAGGATATTGTTCAATCTTAACTGAGCATTCACCTGTGAAAACAACATCACTAAAAGTATCACAAAATGCTGATTGTTGCACTCGCTTTGGCTTGTTTGATCTGCTCCCATCCTCCACCCATTTTTTTGAACATTTGCTGACCAGTTTTCGGTGATACAGTACTTCAATGTTAAGAGGCCCTGCATCTAAGAAACGACCGATGATTTCCGGCTAAAAAAGAAAATCAGCCGATTTTTATCTCCCAAGTAGTGGTTACCGAATACTATTTATAAATGAATTTCTTTTGTTTCAGTTTCACGTTAAACCAAAAATATCAAGCTGCAAACTTTTTCCGTCTGATGGCAGCAACATCAGGCCGAAAATAAGCTCCCGCAAAAAACAGTTCAGAAATCACTATCTCAATGCAAAACAATGAGAAAACTACACAGTGTTGAAGAAAAAGGCCTTTTAATGCAATATCATTCGATAAACATTGAAAAACTGCAGAGGCGAATAGAAAATAAAACTTCAAATATTGCATACTAAATTAGATGGAGCGTTGGAACTGATTTTTTAAAAAAATAATTAATTCTCAAAAGTCCAACGCTGTTGAAAGCAATCACAGTGATGAATCAGACATTGAAGGGATATACAACACGTCTCTGGCAAAACATTTTTCGGCCAAAGTATATTGACATTGTAAAAGCTGTTCAAAGTTACCTTATTTACCCTTTATGTTGCCACTTTGGCGAAACACTTCTCTTTTGCCAATATGGCCGTGGATAGCGTGGTAAATGCCACTTTAAACCTTGCTAGGTGCTCAAATCCATCCTAAATAGAAGTATATAGAATTAAAAGAAAAAGGAAGAGGAAAGATACGCAGAAATAGAAAATAGCTTGAAATTACCATCTGCTAAGGAGAGCTGAATCTTGGAAATGTTGTTGCGTGACAGCGTTCATTTGTCCAAACTGCGGTGGAATCCAAACAAATGCGTGAAATATAAGTAAAACAAAAACAATCTTTTTCTTTTTTTTTTTTTAAGAGGAAATAATAATATTACGGCACAATGCTTCCTTACTTTACAGTACAATATGATCGTTACGACTACTTACACCGTTCTTTAAATACTGTAGCTACACAAAACAGTTTGGAAAATGTCCAGTTTTTTTTTCTTTGCTTTAAAGTCTCAAACAAAAGGCAGCACTACTAACGCTGCCTTTGCTATATATGTACAGTATAAGCACTATATTACTAACCAAAAAACAGCAAGAAAAAAAAACTTTACTTAGTTAACAAAACAAAGAAAACATGTCATCAGTGCATGTTAAATAAAATGTTGAAAGGATTTTTGGAAAGTTGTAAGAGACTTGTTTTTAAATGCTATTTCTTTCTGTATTTTTAATTTTTCCTTTAGAAGTATAAGAAAACTGTTGAAAGAGAGCTTTTCGTTGTTCAGGCAGCTGCAGTATATATTGCTGCTGCAATTAGAAGCACATAGTTCAAAGAGTATCTGTGTTCTGTTGTCAAAAACACCGTATAAAATCGTACTATTATTTTGATAATGCTAGTTGCTGTTTTGTTTTATTTGTCCACCAGTTTTGAAAGGTCTTCCAAAAGGCTATAATGGAAGAGCAGCGTAAGAATTAACATATGATCTAGGGAGTGTGTATCAGCTAAGCACTGAGGACATAATATTATATCGTTGTCAGACAGTTTGGCTCTAAAAAGAGACATTTTAGTTGCGAGAATGTTGTGTATTATCTTATATTGAAACATTGTTATTTTAATGTCACACTTGATCTGGAAAGGTAATTCATACACTTTTTGGATGGTTTCCGGGGTGAAACCATGTTTTAAGATTTTAGTTTTAGCAGTAGGTGGTACTAAGAATTTCTTCAACAGCAAGTTGTACACATATTTGGTGGAAATGGTTTCTTCTTTTCCCTCACTTTCTGGGCATCGCAAAGGAGGATTTTCAGGTACTAACCTCCAAGAAGTTGATATAGCATTAATAAGACCGAAGTAGAGGGTGAAGGGCATTTTGAGCTTAAACTTATAACAGAAGTTTCTAAAGGACAGGAATTTACCCATCCTCTTGAAGGAGATCCTGGATTCATATTATGTTTTGGTTAAACCATCTCCTGTCAAATACAGGTTTACCATAAATTAAAATTTTTCGATTATTCCAAATTACCTCTTCATGAGTGAGGAAGTCTCACTTCTTATAGAATCTTTAGCCATTTGCCATTCTTTTAGTACGTCAACATAAAAAGGTGGTAAATTGCCGACCTGTAGTGTGTTAATGTCATAGTTACAATTTGTCAAGAAGTGTAATCCACCATATCTCTCTAGGGCTGCATTAGGGATGATTTTCTAGGATGCTACGTTTTCTGATTTTATGAGTGGTATCAATGTGACTTTTAAGGCTTTATTCAAGACATTAAAGTCAGTCATTTTAAGTCCTCCATGTTTTCTCTCGCCAATAATAGTTGATTTCTTGATTTTACTCTATCACCAGAAATCGTGAACAGTTTTATGTTGTTCCTATTAATGATGATGGATTCAGCCTCAGCTAGTCTTCAAGTGCTTTGAATGGGGGCAGCATGTATTTCGTTACATACATTCCAATGGATGTTACGGGTCAGCCCTCGCACGGGTCAGCGGACCTAAAAATAGGGATAACCAGGTTATCATGGCAGATGCCCGTTCTTTGTCAAAAAAAAAAGGTTTCTTGGACTGCGGACCGTCACATGGTCGCTCAGAGACAGTATTTCTGTATGAATGCTGAGATGATTTAACTGCACATCTAAAAAAACTGTTTTTTGTCGTGTGCAGACCTTAAAGAGTACAAGGTCATCCTGCAAAGGGCTGGCTTCGAACATTTGTCACATGAACAAGTTAAAAAATTACGTGTTTGTCCTTGCCATCACTATGGTCTTGGAAAATACTGGAGGCCTTCAAAGTTGTGTCAGTACCCAGGACACAACGGAACACCTACCAGCGTCAAAAGTCAAGACATGATCAACCCTGCCATAGCAAAGGAGGTGTTTCAGCTGTTTGGGATATCTGTTCCCAAGTATAAGACACAACATTTGGAAGATTTCCTTGTCATAAAGTGCTTTTCATTTTACAATGCATCTTTTATAGGGTATTTTCTGTTTCTTTTCTTTTATCTTTTCATTAGCCATATGTTCACCCTGTTGGAAAAAACATAAAGCAGATACGAATTCTACATCGTTGGCTCCTGAAGAGGAATGTACAAAAACACATACTGCTGACAAAACGTATACATAAATGGGAGAATTATAATTTCCAAGGAAGTATGAGCTGAAAACTTATAAGTGTTTTGTGACTAATTAGAACATTAATTATATGTTCTCTTTATGTTTTCTAGGAGTTATTAATCAGTTTTAGTAATGTTTTTATTTTATAACAGAGCTAACCAACAAAAATGATAATAGTTGATAATAATTTTTTTTGTGTGACAGAGAGCCACTGAAGACTATACACTATGCTGAGCCGAGTCCAGGTTTTGCAGCAATGCCTCAGACATTTATTATGTGTCCTCAGGATCCAGCTTGGACCCTAAGTGCATTGAGTGCACGAGACAGTGGTAGTTCCGACGAAGAAGAGGCCTTTGCCGTAACTCGTTAAGATGCTAAAATGCTTCATGTGTGCAATACAGCAATGTCAAAGCTAGCAATTAAATCAAGTTCTTCTGCAGATAACTTCTCCCCTTTGGCATCTCGCCTTAAAACATCCTGGGAAAATACAACCAAACTCGATCGCCAAAAATGCCAGGAAAAAGCTCTTCAAGGTTGTCTTCTGGTTTATGAGGTAGTAGCACCAGATGCAAAGGATGATGTATTTCAAGCACTATCCAAGCAGAGTTCAAGGGAATCAGAAGACGATCTCACTAAAGAACTATCTGTGCTGATGACGGCATATAGAGATGTGCCTACTAAAAGTGTCAAATTACAGATTTTAAGTCTGTATGCCTACAGATTTTCTACTGAAAAACTAATGAGATACCATGAACTGTATGAGCCTCTCATGCACTGGCAAATTAAACAAGCCAGGAAACATGCTAAAGAAAAAGGACCTGGAATCCTGCAAGAAAAAACTGTCCAGCATCGAATTCACCTTCCAATGGCTAAAGTCAATCACTTTATCGATTTTGTTAACAGCCCCTACTTCTATCAAGATGTGGCTTATGGTACAAGTGTAATTAAACTAGAAACAGGAGAGAAACTGGCTGTGCCTAATGTCATGCGCACCATAACTCGAACTACCACAATTAACCAATATTTACAGTACTGTGATGAGGAGAGATTCTCACCCCTCAGCACCTGAACTCTTTATAAGATTCTTGAGGTGAGGGAGATGTCCCAGAGAAGGTCACTTCAAGGCTTGGACAACATTGCTACTGATGGAGCTGCTGGATTTGAGACTCTAGAGAAAATAGTACAGTGGAACCTCGATTTAACGAAGTTGCTGGGGACCGGCCAAATTTGTTCGTTAAATCGAGGGTTCATTATATCGAAAACCTTGATATAACAAACTTGAGGGGAAATGACCAAAATGTTCGTTATATCGAGGTCATAGTTAATAATTGATTTGTAACACAGGTGAATTCTGTCATGCAATTCAATGCAATTTTTGTCACCCAGAAGTGCCACGTTTTGAGATGAAATTCATTAAGCATGGTGGCTTTCAGCATCAATTATTTTCACTTTTGAGCAGACGTGCAGCTTTTGTTCACAAAAGAATGACACTTTCAGAGTGGCGATTTAAAAATGTTACAACATAAAGGTTATACAGAAAATTGTCTATACAAACAAGGAAACGGCCTTTAGTGTTGTTATGTTGCACTATCCAACATTTCCGGATTTCAAAGAAGATAGAGCAGAAGTTAATTGATGTTGAAATACTATAGTGCCAATGTCTATGACATATAATAAGCCGTTGATTGAAGTTTGCTGTCTCTTTACCATAAGGATTACAAGGATTTGTTGACTGTTGATCTGTTCAGC